AATTGTGAAAAGAGATGTTTGCTACAATGTCTTCCTTTAAAACACTTCAAATCTAGTTGGGAGGACATATCAGAAATATGTACAACGTTAAGTAACAAAATAGGAAAATAAAACAGCAATTCAAGATACTTATGCAATTGTCACAAGGCAGAATTAGGTTAACTACCAAATCATACATGAAAAATATTTGTGGGCTGAGCAGGGTGGCTGATGCCTGGAGTCCCAGTGATTTGGGAAGCAGAAGCAAGAGGATCACTTGAGGCCAGGAGTTTGAGATCAGCTGGGGCAACACAGTGAGACCCCATCACCATAAAAAAATAAAAAAATAACCAGGCGTGGTGGTATACACCTCTAGTTTTAGCTACTTGGGAGGCCAAGGCAGGGGGATTGCTTGAGCCCAGGAATTTGAGGTTATAGGGAGCTATAAAGGTGCTACTGCACTCCAGCCTGGGTGACACAGCAAGACTCTATCTCAAAACAAAAATAAAAACAAAACTTGTGATGGGGATCTGGAAGAGGGATGTATCTGTTTTTTTCTGGGAGGTAAGGGAAGGCTTCCGATGGGAGGTGGGATTTGAGATGGGTCTTTTAATTCAATGAGACTTGGACAGGCAAAGAGGAATGGATGTGGAGGGGCAGAAAAGCATCTGGTTCTATTGTAGGCACAGTGTCCCAGGGGAGAAAGAAGGTCATAGATTAAGAAGGAAGAAAAGTCAGAGGAACAGAGGAAAGTCAACTCTAGAATATTTGGAGTAGGAAAATAAGGTAGTTAATATCTTACAATCACTGTCTTCTTGGTAGAAGCAGGAGAAAAGGTAGTTAATTGAATGTGGGAAGAGTAGAGTGGGCCTGAGGGCTTGATAAACAGGAAGATGGTCCAGAAGAGCCATTTAAGGAGTTGTATGTCCTAGCGGACAGACAGCTGACTGATAAAAGCATTGCCTTGTGCAAAACCAGAAAGCACAGGGTTTCAGTCTTGTTCCTCCAATGCACGCACATGTGGACGTGCACACACACGTGCACACACACACGCACACATGTACAAATTCTAGCAGAACTGATCTAGACTCCCAACTTGGGCATTTGCTGAGGAAGTTAATGGGGTTGTGGAAGAATTATGACAGATTGTGTAGGAGGCCACAAATCACGTTTACTGAAGTAAACACCCTTTTAAAAATCTGGTCTCAGGCTCCCTTTAAGAAAATAAAGAAGAAAAGGTAGAAAGTGAAGTCAACTAGAAACGGGAGGCGGTTTTATTTTACAAAACTGAGAACAAGCCAGTGTTCTCACAGACACTCACCGTGTCTGAAGAGGGGTCTGTCATCACGCACCGGTGACAGGCATCTTTCTCTAGTGTGTGGTTGGTAACATGCGTGTGAGGCATCGTCGCCACAAGAATGCCCTCTGGGGAAGAAAGAGCCACGCCCAGGCTCAAATGCCTGTTTTATTTTTTGGTGCCTACTTTATAAGAAGACACAGCACCATTAGCGAAGTATAATTTGTGAGCAATAGTGTGCAATTTAGCTTGGATGTGTTCACACTGTGATTTAGTCAAGATTCCCTCACTACATTATTCATTCTAGACATCAAAGAAGGGTAATACATGTGCTACATTTTTTCCTAGTTCTCGATTTAGTTTATTGTTCTCTGATTTGTTTTCACAGAGCCACACAAAGCATTATACTTTACTTGTATTAGTTCAGTTATCTGAGTGACTTAAATAGCTATTTAAATACCTTTCCTTCTAATTCCATTTTCTTCTGCGGCTGACACAGTGATCTGGGCCAGGAGGGAGATGGTATTTTATTGTTTTGGACAAAGTTTAGTTTCTGTATATGCATGTCACTCTGGGTAACGCAAACGTAAGATTTCCAGTGTTCATGACGTGCTTTGTTCCCACAGTCACACACGTCTTACAAGGATCTGCCCTGCATTAGTGCTCACAACACTGAGTGTTCTGAGGCTCGCTCTTCGACTCAAGGAAGTACACACATGCAGTTCTTATTGACTTGGATATTTTCTGAGGAACGTGTTGATTTTGCCCTGTGGGCAACGTAGAATGTATTTTACACAGACCCAGATGGTGTGTCCAACGACACACGGACACTGTATACGCACAGCCTGGTGCTGCTAGGCTACAAGCATGAGTAGTTTGTTCCTGTACTGGGCACTGCAGGCAATTGCAACACAATGACAAGTATTTGTATATTTAAACGTAGGAAAGGTAAAGTGAAAATACAGTATCATAATCTTATGCGACCGCTGTCCTAGATGCAGTTCATCATTGACCAGAAAATGAGGTGTATGAATGCCATAGGTTGTGATCATACGCCATGAAGAATTTCTGCTTTTCTCGGTGACAAGTCATGAAAAATCAGTTTATAATTCAGTGTGCCACCACATTTCTTGTTATAATAAATGTATTTGCACAAAGACCAGAATGTGCAAAGTTATTTGTTTTGAATAATGAGATGTAGACTTCACGTCTGACAAAATGGTAGACAGTGCAGTGGAAAGAGCACTAGATGATGAATCAAATCACAGGTTTTATTCCGAGTCCGTCGTTTACCACCTAACCTTCTACATTTCATTTTCTTGAGCCTTGTTTCCTGCCTATAAAATAATCCTGATTAAAACTTGCATTGTTTAGTGGCTTTCTGCTTTAAATGGGTTTGATATTTGTCCTTCTGTTTAATAATGACAAAAATCCTGTGAATTTTAACGTAGTCACTGTTAGTCCCATGTTTTCAGGTCACAAAACAGACACTGAAGGCTTTTCCAAGGCATGCCACTCATGAATGACGGAAGTATAACATCCTATGGGTTTCTACTTCCAAATAGGATATTTATTCTACCACTACACAGTGGTGTGCTGGTGTGATTCTCTCACAAGAAACTGCTGAGTATCAAAAGACATGATCTAAATTTTGTCTCCACCTACCCACCATCTCCCATGGTCATACCCTAAACCGTAACCTCACTGGTGTCTGCGCCATCTCTTAAGTCCTGATTTTCAGCGTTCTCCTCCTGGTCAGCAGGATTCATCTGAAGCTTATTTATTCTAACATTCTCTCTGCAGCAGCTCTTTGATCTTACTGAGCCTTCCAGCCCAGTGTCACAGCTACTTTTCCTTATCCACCAGCTCCTCACTTCCTCTCTTTGCTTTTCTCCTGATCTAAATAGATTCCATGGGCCTTTCCTATAATCCCTGCTTAACTCCTTTGCCTCATTTCCCTTCATTGTCCTTGTCTGACTGAACCCCAACTTTTGGTGAAAACAACCACCGACCTTTCCTGCTCCTGCACAGCAGCCGCCAGCCTTTGCTGAAGAAAATCACAAAGCCCGACTTCCTGGCTTCGCGTTGAAGGGTGACTCTGCATCTCAGATGGAACTCAGCCACCGCCTGCAGCTCTGATGAGTTTGATTTCTCTCTTTGAAATGGTTAATTCATATCTTCACCTCTCTTGTCAAACCCCCCAGTTCTCAGTTCGTTGACTGACCTCTTGCCTTTTCCACCACGAATCTATACAGCGCTCCTTCCTGGATTACCTCATCCGGTTCCATGGCTTTCATTCTCATCGATTGCCAAGTGACGTCCACATTTGTATCTCAGGATTTGCCTCCTGAACTCCAGACTCACATGTGCTTCTTCCCGACACTGTCTGAGTATCTACTAGACACCCCAAACTTGACGCAGCCCAGCAGGACTCTAGGTCACTTTCCCGGCAGGTGCTCGTTCCCATTTTTTCTCCAACTCAGTAAAGTGATCACCCAATCTACTCAGTTTTTCAAGCCTACAATTTCATCATAACATTTAATTTCTTTCTCCATTCCCTCATGCTTTCCTAAATGCAGAAATCTCCATGCTCTGTTGCCTCTACACTCAGCACGTCTCCCTAAACTGTTCATTTCTCTTCACCACCGCGGCTGCCGCCCTGTTTAACTGTCAACCTTTCTCTCATTGATCTGATATGGCCTCGTTGCTGGCATTATTTTTTCCTGGCTCTTCCCTTACATTCTACACCCTGCAGCAGGCGAAGAGGCATTTTAAAACAGGAAATGCTATGAGGGCTTCCCTTGTGTTAAATCTATTGCTGGATGTCCATTGCTCTTGACGCCTGAGCCCCACAGGCCCTGCACGTCCTAACACGGCTGTGCCGTCCTCCCCTCTTACTGTGATGGAGCCACACTGGACGGGCCGTGTCTTTTCAGGGCGTTTGTGTATGCTGTTCTCATGTTCTGGAACGTTCTCCCCACTCTCGGGTTGGCTGGATTCTTCTCACCGCCTTGCGCTCAGCTCAGTAGCATGTCCCCAGGAACGCTTTGTATGAGCGTGCTTTCTAAGAGCTTCACCTGCTTTTCCCTTTCCTTCCGATCACTTTCTCTTCCTAACATCTTTTCTTCACAGTCCTCACAATCTGAAGTTACTTTGTGTGTTTGTTTGTTTGTTGTGTACGTCCTTCAACCAAAGGCTCACTGCATGGCACTAGGGACCCCCTCTAGTTTCCTAGCTCTTCCTCAGTGCTTGGCGTCATTCCCAGCAGCTACGAGGCTCCTGACAAGGAAACTTGCTGAGTAGTGCATAGGCATACAGGTCTCTTTGCTGTTGCGCAGCACGCTCCACTCTCTAGGCGGGAGGAGCCGCGTTAGCAGATCAGGACGCAGCTGCTCTGTACTGGGCCCCAAAAGGCAAAATGACAAGCTGGTTGCCATTCGACAGTTCTTACCACATGAAAATCTATCTTCTGTTTTGCCAGCTCCAAACTAGGACTAATTGGATGTGGCTAGACTGTAAGGAAGTATTGATTCAGATAAATAGTATCTGTTAAGAAAGATTTATGGGGCAATGGTGTTGCATAGAAGAAATATTAGTTCCATTTCTTCTGGGCTTTAAGAAATAACCCTGGATTTCTGTTGCTTGTTCCAGTGATGGCCGGAGAAGAATGCGCAGGGCTGCTATTGCATGGGTGCTGCAGGAAGCCTCTTGGGACACTGAGACGAGGTTGGGTGTCAGAGCGTGCGGCTCACCCCCATTCACTTCCAGCCTTTTTGTCTAAGCCTGAGGTTTTCTTTAAAGTTCATTCAGACTCAGAGAAACTGCCCACATCTCAGCTCCAGTGTGTGAGTAATTAAGGGTGTGCCACCTCGAAGGTCCTACACCTTCCCATCTTCACGGATTTCAAGGGATTGAAGACCTTCTCCAATTTCCTAATGCCGGGGCCCTAGAGCCCAGAATTGCAAGTGGTGCCTGTTGTTATCAGTAAATCAAGTTATTAGATAACATTTTGATCAGAAAATGATATAGGCAGTAAAAATGTAAACCCTAAATATCCTCTGTAATTATTCTTTCCTTCAATGGCCAACACTTGTATGTAATTTTTCTATTTGTGTCTTGACTCTAAGGAAGAAGCTGATTATAAATATTTTCTTTAGAGGTGGCATTTGTTATGACATCTGCTCTTTGGGCCAATTTCAACGCTTTTCCTCACTGCACCCATCCTTGCTTACCTCCCTTACATTTCCAATGTGTCTTTGGTCTTCCTTTCTCCATAAATTTATTTCCTTCTTGTAAAAGAAAGTTTAGCTAAGACTGATAGGTACAAAGAGAAGTAAACCCAAAGAAAGAAAGAAGAGTTACCGTCAGAAATTACTAGTGAAAATTGTGGTACACACACACACACACACACATCCAAGAGGTTTATATATATACTTGTGTGTGTGTGTGTGTGTGTACCACAACTGTCACTAGTAATTTCTGATGGTAACTCTTCTTTTTCTTTGGCTTTACTTCTCTTTGTACCTATCAATCTTAGCTAAATTTCCTTTTACCAGAAGGAAATAAATTTAAAGAGAAAGGAGGAACAAAGATGCATTGGAAGAGTCTGGGAGGTTAGCAAGGATGGGTGCCCTGAGGAAAGGCTTTGAAATATACATCTTTCCAAGAGGCTTTTTTTCATTGTCACTTTAGTGCCACTTCCCCCCATTTTGACACTTTTTCTCGCAATTTTGCTGTTTAAAATCGTTCCCAAGTGTAGTGCTGAAGTCTGTCCAATGTTTCTGAGCTCAAGAAAGCTGTGACGTGCCTTACGGAGAAAATGCGTGTGTCAGACAGCCTCATTCAGCGTGAGTTACGGTGCTGTTAACTCTAGGCTCCATGCTAAGCAATCCACAATGGGGCACATCCAGAGAAAGAAAGAGAATCCGGCCGACATGTGCCTGTAGGTGAGGCTGCTCTGGAAAGTGTGAGGCAGCATCGACACTGCTTGATAACGCGACGGAAAAGACGGAGAAATGGCTGAATTTGGGTTCGTGACACGACGCCTGATAAAAACGGGCATAATGGGCAGCAGCGTTCTGAGGCGGAAGGCCAGAGAAATTGATGCTCATTTGACCCAGTTCAGGAGAATTTTAGACTGTTCTTGACCAGTGTTTTATTATAAGGAAATGATGCATATAATTAATTATTTGTAAAAAATATATAGTAAGTGGTATTTCAAACAGAAACACACATAAAACAAGGTTTTGTGTTGACTGGTTGACAGAAACATTGTGACCAGAAACCTGACTCTTTGCTTCCCATAGGAACAGTGGCTAATTCAGCGTTCACGGGACTTTATATAACAGGACTAATGCAAATAATGAGAATTGACTGCCCATATGCATACTTTCCTCTGTCTGTTCACACACGCACACACACAAACACACACACACGTGGAAAATATATACTATATGTACACCCTTTACTATGTATATTTTATTAACATGAGATCATGCCTTCCACAATTTTATAATTTCCTTTCTTCCTATTGTAGCATTTCATCTTGCTCATCCTTTCCGTGGGACTGATTTCTGTCACATAATTTTTAACGGCTGCATAATATTGATTCCATTTTATGAATATATTAAATTTTCAGCAGGAACGTTGGTAATAACTTATATCCTCCTCAGCAGTGCCTGACCCCTGACCCCAACTGAGTGTTGTCTGCAATTCTTCCCCGTTTCATTGTTGTGCTTCTCATTCTCTATCCGGTGAAATTTCTTTCTCCATTTCTGCCTTGGGAGACTTGAACTATAATATTTTAGGCATGAGGCTAATTTTGAAAAGTTCCTCTGGTTTTGTCAACAGTGTTTGTAGTATAACTCAGAAGACAGTTGTTTTGCAGTTGATAAAGCCATGCCCAGAAATTAAACTTGTCAAATTTCCAATAGTCAGAAGTTTTTTAAAGAGGTGAAGGGAATAATAACCCTGAGAGCTTCCTTTGCATAGCCCAGGAAATATCAGAAATTTGCCACCCGAATAATCTCGTTGCCTGCCCCAAGTTAATGTTTGAAATAATTTAGGCAAAACCAAAAATATCATAGCAGTGACACTGACATTTTGTTTTACCTGCTTGATACAAAATGGCAGCTATGGTCCCACTGAGGTTAAAAATGTTTTTGTTCTTAAAATGACCTCAACCAAAGGAAAGATACTGAACTACATTTTCCCACTCTATATTAAGCTTTAAACAAAAATTGGAACAGCCCCCACTGCTGAGAAGACAGTGGTGCTTCCCACCCCAGCGTGCTGTACCACTGAAAGTAAACGTCCATGAAGCTGTAGTAAGTGTGAGGAAGTTCTCACTGTGCTTGTTCTCATACTGGCTGTCTGGAAGCCTTTTTACTTTCAAAATGCCAGGTTCCTTCACGGGGCATTTGTTGAGGGTGCCCCAGTGTGTTTCCTGGTAGCTGTGGCCCCAGATGGAGGACTTGCTGCTGCTGCTCGTGGAAATGGTGCTCTCAGAGCTGCTGGTCCAGCTTCCCTTCCTCTGCTGCTGGTGTTAGCATCTCCTGGATGGTGGGCGAGCCTACGTGTGCCTGCCAGGGTGGGGAAATGGCCCATCTGCTCTGCGCTGAGCTTTGATTTCATTGCCAGTGACGGCTGCGAAGCAGATGCCCAAACGTGGGGTGGGCAACAGTGCTTAGAGGCCGGGGAGAGGAACTGTAGTCAGTCTGTTTATAGCCTGTAACCCAGAGCGAGGGCCAGACGTGCTAAGCCAGCTGCTAGCAAAGCTGCAGGGTCTATGCCATCCCAACCAGATGACGCTGGCGCAGAAGCTGGCAGCACGCGGTTCCAGCCCTTGAGGCTGCCATGGTGGCGTGACCTTGAGCAAGTCACTTCACCTTCAGGCTCTGTTGCAGCAAAGTGTCACCTATCAACTGCAGACTGGAATCGAGCTGCCTACCTCGCCTGCTGCGGGGACGCCGGACATAACATCAGATCTCAGTGGGTCGTCCGAGGGCAGCACAAATGCTGCCCCCTCTGTGGCTGCCCAGAGGGCTCCTCTGACTCCGCCCACTACTCAGTCTTTCCTTTCGAATTCTATCGGCATTTTAATAGCATCTTCTTTTTTGGACACATAATGCATATATTAGCAAACATTTATTAGATGTGCCCGCTTTATTCTGGCTGCTATTCTAAGTACTTCATTGTGAGTGGGGGAGGGTAGAATACTGAAATCAGGTACAAAGACAAATAACCAAGTTCTTGAAGGTTTGCTTTAAAAATAATATGAATTAAAATGAAATTAGTGTGTCAAAGAGATACTTGCCTCTAGTGTTCATTGCAGCATTACTCACAGTAGCTAAGACTGGAATTGACTTGTGTGTCCATCAGCAGATGAATGAATTAAAAAATGTGGCATATATACACAACGGAATATTATTCAGCCACGAAAAGGGGCATCCCGTTATTTGTGACAATGTGAATAAATCTGGAGGACATTACATTAAGTGATATAAGCCAGGCACAGAAAGGTAAACACTGCATAAACAGTTTCACTTGCATGTGAAATCTAAAAAAGTTGAATTTATAGAAGCAGAGAAGAGAATGGTAGTTATGAGGGTCTGATGAGAGAAGAGAATGCAGAAACGGTGGTGAACGTATACAGAATTTCATTCAGGCAGGAGGAATCATCTCAGGACAGCGTCCTACCACATGGCGATTATCATTCATAACAATGTATCGGATGCTTGAAAACTGCTGTGAAAGCAGATTTTAAGTGTTTTCACTACAAAAGGACATACATATGTGAGGTAAGGAATTTGTTAGCTTGATTTTGCTTTTCCACAGTGCACATATATATCAACACATCCCATTGCATACCATAAATATATCTAATTTTTAGTTGTCAAGTAAAATATAGTATGAATTATCTATATTCCATCTAATTTTCTCCCAATAACTCTGTGCTCCTCCATAAGAGAAACTCTATTTTGAAAACCCCCTCGGCCACCTGAAAGAACTCACCAGTGTGTGTCACAGAAAGTAACGACAGCTTATTGAACACTTATAGGCCCAGGTAGTTTTGTAAATGCTTTCCATGAATCAACCCATTCAGTCTTCATTCCAGTGCCACTGTTATTACTATTTCATAGACAGGACCAGAAAATGGCACAGAGGAGCTTAGAGCCTCCAAGGTCACAGTGCGTGTGTGGCAGGTTCTGGCTCCGGAGCGTACACCGCGATTATCGAGGCTTCCTCCCGTGGTAGACGGGGTCCAGAAATATTAAATGAGTAATGACTGTTAGAGTATTTAAGAGGATTGAAGTCCTTTATAAGACTAAGTCATTACTACTGTTACTGCAGACATAACCGTTATTAACGATTGCAGCCGACATCCTGCAACAGTGTCGGAGGAAAGAAGCCTCATCACTGTACTTCTGACGTTGGAGCTCAGTGGCGTGCAGAGGCAAGCACCTGATCAGAGAGTTGAGCAAACCCAGTATAAGACGCGAGCTCAGCAGGAGCAGAGCTAGAAAAAACGTCCTTGCTTTCTTATCCTCACGCCTGGGCCCACAGGGTTTAGGCTGATTCTGGGGGAACCCTGATGACTAGCCTCGGCCCAGTGTTAGCTTTCTGCTTCTCCAAAAGACTATGCATTAAGTTTGTCGTTTATACAAGCTGATTACTCACTGGCTTTATCTTTGCTCTCAAATATATCCTTTTTAGTACTTACGCTAGACAATATCGTTTCATCTTTAATTTCCACCTTCCTTCAATTGGCTAAATCCTGCCCATTAAGTGTTTTTGAAGTACATTCCCTACCTTCTACTCTGACTGCCATTAACTTCAGTATTTTTTATTCCACCACAGAAATAGGTTTCTGGCTGGCCTCTCAGAGTATGATCTGTATTTTCTCCAGTTTTGCATTCTCTAATTTACATTTATGAAATACACATCTGATATTATCCCTTGTTGTTAAAAGTCATTAATGGCTTCCATTCAGCTCCAAGATAGACCATAAACTCGCTCCACAATGTGGCCCCAACCTGCTCCTTGGACACCACGCCCCACCATGCTTCCTTATTAATTGTGTATACTATAACCACACCAGACTGCTGTCTACCCTTCCCAAAATGGGTCAGATGCTCCCATGTTCCCAGGACACATGCTCTACCTTCTCTTCAAAAATTCCACCTGTTAAAAGTTTGGTTTTCTTCAAGGCATAGCTCAATGTCATTTCTGATTATCCTGAGTTGGAATTCATTGCTGTTCCTACGAATTCTATGTTTGCAGTTCTCTTCTGACACTTGTTTGTTTATATTATGAGATAAGTAGCATACATTTTATATAACAGATTGGAAGCTCATTGAACTTAAAAAAGATTCATCTTTGTTGCTGTATAACAACTAGCATAGTTGTCCTATATTTTTAGATTTTTAAATACGTGGGGCTCATCTTCCCATAGAGACTGTTGGCTTTGGCAGGCAGTGGCCATTTGGAACACGAGTTTGCTTCTGTATTTGGGGTGTTAACTTTAAATTTTCTTCTACCAGTCAACATCCTTGTGCAGGTGACCAAGAAGAAGCTGTTCTAATTCCTTCTCCCAGTGATTGCTGTGAGCATTAAGAGAAGTGACATCTGCAAAGAACTGGATACATTCGAGTCTCAAAAAGGTAGGCATTGATTGGTTGCATTATGTTTGAAGTTGGCACAACATTTTATGTGACTGAGTCTTGGCACAGGCCATGCAGTCTCAGGGATTGATTGTCTCCCATAATAAAACACGTGTGTGGTTTAATTCTAGCATGCTCTCCAAAAGAACGTTTCCCCCTTCACTATTGTAACTTCATGTATTCAACCATGTCTGCATTTGTTCTAGAATAATTACTCAGTAGTGTCTTGACACTGCTTCTAATTGTGAAGAATTTAAAAGATTCCTATTATCTATCTGTCTCTAAACTGTTCCTTTGGGTATCCTTACTCTGGTGTTCTTGGAACATAGAAGAAAGCCTCTGTCTTGCAGAGTGTAATGCCTGCATATAGCAATCAATAAATAAGTATTTGTTGACTCAATAAATGGGGAATAAGTGAACGGCTTCCACGCTCCTGGTAGGCAAAAAAGCACAAACTATTTAGTTATGTGAGTTGTCATGCAAAACTACCCTGGGTTTCTAGGCAGCATATCTGAGAATGATTTTTAGTGTCTGTGGGTAGATTAATCTTCTCCTCCCTTAAATAACGAGTAGATCCATTGAGAAGAAAGTGCTATGGGGTACTCAGGCAGAATTCAAAGAGCAGGAGCATTACACGAAGCAGGAAATTAATTTGCCTGCTGGAGTTGATGAGGAAGTAACACCCGGGAATTGGTATTCATCTCTTTAGGACTGTCAGGGTGAAAAGTTTTCTCTCATATTTCCTAATGAGGCTCTGCCACCTGGGTACTCCATAAGCTCCTGTTGTCTGAAAAGTGGGGCAAAATCAGGACTGTTGTTGGAAAAACTGACTCTATTGTCCATGTGGGTGTGAAGGTCTGTGTGTGTGCTGAATGACTCGGTGAATCTCAGCAGTGACTCCTTCCACCTGGGTTAGGCTGGACGAGGGCAAGGCAGACAAGTTTCATGGAGAACTGCACGCACCAGGCTCTGGAGTCAGAGGCCGCTGGATTCTCCCTTCAGAGCGGAATGGCTGACGGGCTTTCTATTGCCCTTATCGATGAAGAGTGTTTAAAGTTGAATTGATTGAGCAGTGTTTTTTTGTTTTGTTTTGTGTGTAGAAGGCTGTCACAGACTAAAATAATATCATAAAATGACATCTTAATTAGCTACTTTAGATTCATTTGTGGGAAAAAAAGTCAAAGTCAAAACTTTACTTCCTTTTCTTTTCCTTCCCAAAATTATTTGCAAGCCATGCCATTTTTTTTATTTTTTTTTTTTTTTTTTTTTTTTTGCCAAAGTTACTGACTAAGGAGATCAGGGTATCTTAATGGCAAAATAAGTGGATTATTTTAATTCCCACTTGATTTGACTTCTTTTCCAAGTAACTTCCTCAGCAATAAGGAAAGAGTCCCCACATCTGAGCTCTAAAAGTGGTCAATGGTTGTGTCTCTTCCTGCAAATTCAGTGCCTTGAAGACACATGACATGCTTAACAGCAGCTCTCCTGTGCTTCCACTGTGATTTTCATGTCCACGCCTGTGGGAAAGATCCTCTGTCTTCAATCTCACATAGTTATTCTGGGTCTCATAACCAAATTAAGGGCAGAAGAAAATGCTGAAGTGGTAAATTTAATCACCTTTCCCAGAGGTTAGGAACACTTCTCAGCTACCTCTGTCCTCATACATCTATCTTCCAATCTGTTCAATTCAGCTGTCACAATTTCACCCCAACTTACCCCTCACTAACACTCGAAATGCTGCCTTTAATTAATTCTCCACTCTCAGAACTTTGAGCAATGCCAAGTTAGTTAATTATCCGAGTGAATTGTTTAAGCATTTCCTAGATGTGAATTATAAAAATTCTTGGTGAGTGCCAGCATCATATCTTCAAAGACTTGAGCTTCCTTGCCCTCCACAGAGCTGTGCTGTTAAAATGAGCAGGTGGTACAGAACAGTGTCTACAGGAAATTTTCTCTCTCAACTATAATATAGGTATCTGGAAACATCCTCCTTTGTTTTACTGAAAAAGTGGGAAGCTTTGAAGGAAAGGTGTAACCAGTTTTTGAATAAGTTCTACTAGAATTATTATTGAATAACTTCCCTTAGATCTCTAGGGACTTGTAGCTCTGTGCTATGTGTTACCAGTTGAAATGAGATAAGATTATCATGGATGCCAAATTGTCCTGTTGTAGTGGAAATTTGTTCTACAAAAAGTCTCTTATGAGAAAAAAAAGGAAAGCAGTAACATTTATTTATTTTCTTCTCTGCAGGCGTTCTAATATATTATATGCATTCTTCATGACAACCATGTGATAGATATTAATATCCTCATTGCTAAAGATGAAGAAACTAATCTCAGGAAGAAAAACTAAGTGAAGACAAAAGAAGGATTTGAACTCAGGTTTGTCAGACTTTTGGGCCCATGCTGTTTAAACCACTAAACCACACTACCTCTGGGTCACTTAATAAGCAGCATTCAACCATTAAGAAAGTCAGTAATAAAGTTGTGCTCTCCCTGAGATTACAGACCATTCATTTGTTAAGCTGGAATATTTGGTTTATTGTGGTCATAATTACATGTCTACAGGAGATAAATTTATTGAGTTTCTTAACTATGGGCGCCCATCTTGCTTCCCCTAGTGGAGGATATCTCTTAGTCAATATTTCAACATAATGGACACAGTGTCACCAAGACACAGTCTCAGGATAGTTAAGAAATCGTTTGTGTTATAAACTATAAAAAGAGGTTATAGTCACTTTGAGTGAAGTGATGGTTTCAAATAAGGCAGAATTTGGCCTCTAGAACATGGAGAGAAATATCTGAGAGGAAATGTGGAAATGAAATTGGGTTAGTCATCAGATTTTTAAAAACCTGATTGCCGAATCTACAAAATGGGCACATTAGAACTGTCACTCATAGTGCTGCCATGCCAGCAGACTCCCCTACTTGGTACTGTTTTCAACCAGGTAACCTTCCTGCCTACAGACGCAGAAAACTGGCCGAGGGTGAGCACCTGTCGTAGAGTGGACTGGCTAACTTTGAGGAGGTTCATCATAAAAAGATGAACTAGTTTTGAAACAGGAAACAGGGTGAAACCATGAGGTAGAATTAGGGCCAAGAGAAATCTTGGCGAGCTGAAGTTAGGAGCATTTCAATCAAGTAACAATGAGGTTGAAAAAAGAATTATAGGCTCAAAGATAAGACTAAGTTATTACATTAGCATAGTCACTGAGACAATAGGTTTTGGAGTGCGATGGATGTGGGTTCTTATTAGCTGTGTGATCTTCAGCAATTTAAAGATCTTCAGCATCTATAAAGTTCTGGTTCTTGTCAGTAAAAAGATGATAATAGTAAATAAATAGTAAAATGGAGATAGTTTTCATTATAAAGTTGTTGTGAGGATTTTATGAATTAATACATGATAACACTGTAGAACAGTGGCCGGCATTTTGCTAATTCTACAACAGTGATATGATTTCCCACCCAAATCTCATCTTGAATTCTCATGTGTTGTGGGAGGGGCTCAATGAGAGGTAATTGAAATCATGGGTACAAGTCTTTCCCATGCGATTCTCATGGTAGCGAATACGTCTCACGAAATCTGATGGCTTTATAAAGAGGAGCTCACCTGCACAAGTTCTCTCTCTTTGCCTGCTGCCATCCATGTAAGACGTGGCCTCCTCTTCTTTGCCTTCCACCATGATTGTGAGGCTGCCCAGCCACATGGAATTGTACCTTTTTCTTCTCTAAATTGTGTAGTCTCAGGTATGTCTTTATAAGCATGAAAATAGACTAATATTGTAAATTGGCACCAGTAGAGTGGGGTGCTGCTGAAAAGATACCCGAAAATGTGGAAGCAACTTTGAAACTGGGTAACAGGCAGAGGTTGGAAGAGTTTGGAGGTCTCAGAAGAATACAGGAAAATGTGGGAAAGTTTGGAACTTCCTGGAGATTTGTTGAATGGCTTTGACAAAAATCCTGATAATGATATGAACAATAAGGTCCAGGCTGAGGTGATTTCAGATGGAGATGAGGAGCTTGGGAACTGAAGGAAAGGTGACTCTTGTTATGTTTTAGCAAAGAGACTGGTGGCATTTTGCCCCTGCCCTAGAGATTTGTGAAACTTTGAGCTTAAGAAAGATGATTTAGGGATCTGATGGAAGAAGTTTCTAACCAGCAAAGCATTCAAGAGGTGACTTGGGTGCTGTTAAAGGCATTCAGTTTTATAAAGGAAGCAGAGCATAAACATTGGAAAATTTGCAGCCTGACAATGTGATAGAAAAGAAAATCCCATTTTCTGAGGAGAAATTCCAGCTGGCTGCAGAAATTTGCATAAGTAATGAGGAGCTGAATGTTAATCCCTAAGACAATGACATTCCTTCCCCTCTCATCACAAGCCCAGAGGCCTAGGAGGAAAATATGGTCTGTGGGCCAGACCCAGGGTCCCTGTTCTGTGTGCAGCCTAGGGACTTGGTGCCCTGTGTTCCAGCCACTCCAGTCATGGCTGAAAGGGGCCAATGTAGAGTTCAGGCCATGGCTTCAGGGGATGCAAGCCTCAAGTCTTTGGCAGCTTTGATGTGGTGTTGAGCCTGAGGTCCACAGAATTCAAGAACGGACGTTTGGGAACCTCCACCTAGATTTCAGAAGATGTATGGAAATACCTGGATGTCCAGGCAGAAGTTTGCTGCAGGGGTGGGGCCCTCATGGAGAACCTCTGCTACAGCAGTGCAGAAGGGAAATGTGGGGTCGAAGTCCCCCCACAGAGTCCTACTGGGGCACCACCTAGTGGAGCTGTGAGAAAATGGCCACCGTCCCCCAGACCCCAGAATGCTAGATCCACTGACGCTGGCACTGTGGGCCTGGAAAAGCCACAGATGCTCAATGCAAGCCCATGAAAGCAGATGGGAGGGAAGCTGTACCCTGCAAAGCCACAGGGGTGGAGCTGTCCAAGACCATGGGAACCCACCTCATGCATCAGTGTGACCTAGATGTGAGACATGGAGTCAAAGGAGATCATTTTGGAACTTTGACTGCCCTGCTGGATTTCAGACTTACATGGGGCCTGTAGCCCCTTTGTTTTGGCCAATTTCTCCTATATGGAATGGCTGTATTTACCCAATGCCTGTACCCCCATTGTGCCTGGGAAGTAACTAACCTACCTTTGATTTTACAGGCTCATAGAAAGAAGGGACTTTCTTTTTCTCAGATGGGACTTTGGACTGTAGACTTTTTAGTTAATGATGAAATGTGTTAAGACTTTGGGGGACTGTTGGGAAGGCATGACTGGTTTTGAAATGTGAGGACCTGAGATTTGGGAGGAGCCAGGGGTGGAATGATGTGGTGTGGCTGTGTCCACACCCAAATCCCATCTTGAATTTCCACGTGTTGTGGGAGGGACCTGGTGGGAGGTAATCAATCATGGGGGCAGGTCTTTCCCGTGCTGTTCTCATGATAGTAAGTAAGTCTCACAATATCCGATGTTTCTATAAGGGGAAGTTTCCCTGCACAAGCTCTTTCTCTTGTAAGACACGTAAGACATGACATGCTCTTCCTTGCCTTCTCCCATGACTGTGAGGCTTCCCCAGCCACGTGGAACTGTAAGTCCAATTAAACCTCTTTCTTTTGTAAATCGTTCAGTCTTGGGTATGTCTTTATCAGCAGTGTGAAAATGGACTAATACAATCAATGTTTGTCTTATTACTTCAGAGGCACCATACTGAGTGTTCATATGATTTATGTCAGTGAATCTTTCAACAACTGTATGAGGTAGGTTTTATTAGTATCTCCACTTTGTGGATGAAGAAACTGAGGCATGGAGGTTAATTAGCATCTTCCTGGTCACACAGCTAGTAGGCGGCAGAGCTGGCATTTGAAGTGGGGCTTTATGGGTCGAGTGTGCTTGTTCACCATACCTTCTACTGTTTCTCTATAATTGATGAGCTGCAGCAAGAGGAGTATAGAGCCGGCGGATAGAAAGTGACTGAGCCCTAGAGTTGGCTGACAACTTGTGTAAGAAGAGCAAAATCGGGCTGTGGGACTTGATGACTGCCCAGGGTCCACTGCAGGTCCTGGGAGGCCAGGCCATGCCTGATCCTTTTCTGTGGCTCCCACAAGATCCTGTGTGTCCCTGCAGGCAGTTTCCTGTTTCAGGGGAGGGCTCCACTGAGCCTCGGTGCCAGGCGTGATGCTGAGCCACTGGTGTCAACACTTGCTCTGTCTTGAAGAAATAAGGTTTGTCCAGGATTTTTGTTCCATGGAAACAGGGATTGGTTTGGTTTGGTCCCCAGCATCCACCTCACATTTAGCACAGCACATAGTAGGGGGTCCTGAAATAACTTTTTGAGAGAATGAATAAAAAACTGGAGTAAAGTATTTCTTTCATCTAATTACTGATATCACCATTTCTTTCAATGACTAATTTCTCATGTACTAGTCTACACAGTTATAGAAAATGACCTTTTGCTGAGAAACAGAAGGATATGTACAGTAGTTATAAAATGAGCGTTTCAAATTCCTATTACTTGAAGGACTGAGGAGCGAAAAGACATTTCAGGCTATTAATCTATATTTACCATGTCAACAATTCATCAGGCATAATGCCTAACAATAAAAGCCCCATTATAGCTTCATTTAACATGAAATATTGTGTTATTAACTTACTATATTATGTGTATTTCATCCTAATCACAGAAATTTCTAAGAGCTCACAGTCTCTTTGCATCTCTGTGGTAGTTAAAATAAGATTTAACTTCTGTCACTACAGCAAATCATATTCTAGTGAGCACTGACCTTCTGAGGGTCACATGCCTATACCCTCTAAATGAACATTTGCTGAGGATATTTCACAAATCTCTGGAAAGAGATGCTTTAATTCTGTCCAGTGCTACATAGTCTTCAAGCAATGCATTTCTTTTTCTTGCTGAAAATTCATAGCGAGACCAGCGGTCGATGAAGCAAACACTTCTGAGGCTTCCCCTTGATCCTCCTGCATCAAATGCTTAAAATTTAATGCTGGAGCTTAAAGCTCTGTGAGCTCCAGAGATAGAGGTAAATGAAAAGTCAACCTTTCGGCTGTATTTCTGCCCAAGCTTCTGTGTTTGTGCCCCCCACGGCAGCCGAAACAGTTTGCTATGAGAACGCCACTGTCAGAGGAACTTTGACGCAACGCCGGGATTGGAAAATGTAGCCAGGGCTCCTTCTGACCAAGTCCATTTGTACTTGCAGAACTTCGTCAGCGCAGCAGGAGCCTGGGGACTCGGGTCCCTTGCAGCAGCACTTGGGAGTCTGTGCTTGCGTTTTCTAGGGAATATTCAGAAGATGAGAAGGCTTAGCGGCTCTGGGTGTCTTGAGCCTCGGTGGCCTCAGGGGATAGTGCTTTAGGGAGGAGGTGTGGTGGGCATCATCTGACATCTGTGTGGCCAGGAGAGGTTACCATCGTCATCTACTTTTATGTTTGTCTTAATAAAACTGAGAAATATAAATTTATGTGTACAATGTTTACAGTAGCTTTATTCTAACATATTTTGGACACAACTTCTTTCTAGGAGACAGATACTTTGGGGAGCGGGCATGTGACAAGCAAGAACATTCTAACACCATGTGGTCGCAGGC